CTCTTCTGTTTGACTTCTTATGTCCAGAAGATTCTGGTTTATCTTCTGACTTCTTGAAGTTCCTGAACTTCTTCTGTCTGTGCTTCCACATCTGGTTGATCCTTCTGGAGAGAAAGGATAGTTCATCTTCTTCTGACGCAGATTCTTCAAAGTTTCCTTCTTCTGCCTGAAAAGCGTTAGTTTCACATTTTTAATAGATTTAAGGGCAACAGACTTACCTTTCTTCTGAGGCTCGTGTTCATCAAGTTCTATCTCATGACTTCTTAAAGCGCTGATGAGTTCTTCAAGAGACACATTGTTCAAATCTTTTGATACTTTGAAAGAAGTGACCATAGGTGCCCATCTTCTGGGTAAACTTCTGATAATCTTCTTAACGTGGTATGCCTTGGTGTATCCCTTGTTCAGAACTCTCAGGCCAACGATCATAGTTTGGAACCTTGAGAACATAGCTTCTATAGATTCACTTTCTTCCATTTTGAAGGCTTCATACTTCTGGATGAGAGCCAGAGCTTTAGTCTCTTTCACTTGAGTGTTTCCTTCATGAGTCATTTTGAGAGACTCAAACATGTCATGTGTTGTATCTCTATTTGTGATCTTCTCATATTCCATTTTAGAGACAGCGCTCAGAAATATATTTCTAGCTCTATGGTGATTTTTGAAATCAGCTTTTTGTTGTCTATCCATAATCTTTCTATCAATCTTGTTTCCTTCTGAGTCTACAGGATGTGTGTAACCATCTAAGACCACATCCCATAAATCAGTATCATGACCTAGAAAGAAACTTTCTAGTCTATCTTTCCAATATTCAAAATCTTCTCCATTAAACACAGAAGGTTTGGTGTAGTTATTGTTGTTTTGTTCAGTTGCCATTGTTTTTTCTTTCTGGATCTTTTTCTGACGCGGTTAAGTGTTTGCGCTCAGAGTCAAGCCCTGATACCAATTGAAGGGTGAGAAAACACTTAGAAGGGGGGGGGGGGGTTGAATCCGTTTTTTCTTTTTCTTTTTTTCTACTAGCTCAACAATAATGGAAATACACAGTTATTTTTATCCTGATTCGTTTGAACTCAAACTACTCCAGTCCATCCGCCAAGGTGATTTCGCCTTTCTCAACAAGGACTTAATTCACTATAATCAAACCGATTACAATCACACAACCAAACTGTTGTGACTAACAATACAAAGCACAAGTAAACTTACAAGTGACTAATACCACTAAGACTCAAACTAGTCCTTAGCCTTCTTGAGAAATTTGACCAAACTTGGTCTCTCAAGGAACAAATACAAGAATTAAATCTTTACAATAGTGAAACAAATTGCTTCTTAGAAAGCTATATCACAAACAATGATTTATCACTAAGATATGTTTTGCACTTGTGAAAATAACAAGATAATTTGTGAGCAGCATAATAATTTTCACGTAAGATGTTTCTTTTGGTTTTGTTGAGTAGTTGGCTTGCAATAAATGATCTTCTATCTATAGCATGAGGAAGACGACCGTTATTGCCTTCAAAAGTGAGGAGCAATTAATGTTTGCGTGTTGGCTTGCATTTTTGTTTCTTTCAATGAACTAGAGTAGAGACACTTGAGTGCTTTAGCCGTCTTTGCATTAAATGAACAAACAATACTATCAGAGCTTGTTTCCTGAAACTTGACAAGACTGATTGCTTCTTTAATCTTTCAGAACTTGCTTCAGATCTTTCTTCAGATTTTGCTTGTAAATAACTTCTCATCAGAGCTTGCTTGCAAAATACTTCTGAACAGAGTTTGCATGGAAACTTGCTAAGATTAGAGGATGAATTAAAATTCTTCTTATCAGAGCCAACGTCAGAACTTGTGCTAAATAACTAGTTCTTTCATCAAAGAACTTCTTTATTTTTATTCAGCTCAACACATAAAATGATTTTCACCTTAGAAAATACTTCAGTCAGAATATTATCTGAAACAAATAAATATGCTCATCAGAGTATCAATTATACAAAATATATTTTATTGTTATCATCAAAACTCTGAGATATGATCAGAACCAATCTTGTTCTAACACCCTTTTCATAGTCTACCCCCGAACTCAAGAAATAATCTCAAAGCTCTTTCCTGTGCTTTTTCATTTTTCCTTTTGGATAAAAGAAAAGTCGGTGGCGACTCTTGCTAACCGCAACATTTGCAATCAAACACAAAACCTTCAAGTCAGTTCTCCTACCGTATCACATACGATGACCGAGAAATAGATTCTTTTGACAAAATTCCAATTGTTTCCAATTTATGTATTCTTCACAAATAGGACACGCTTTTTGACCTTTAATGTTATACCCTGATAGATTTTCGTATGCTGGAAAATCATTAATTGTGCCAAACAACATCGATCCTCAAATTGAAATTTTCTTTTCTATATCCATCATAAACCTCCACACCATTCTTCCACAAAATCTTTAAATCTTCGATTAAAGGTGTCAAGTATACGTCTATGTCATTCCCTGGTTGTTTAGGCCCAGAAATTAACATAGATAACATGATGTACTTGCGGTTCATACATAGCCATGAAGATAGGTTATAAATCATAATAATTATAGGCCATGTGGTATGTGAGATACTTTAAAGATCATGCGGGTTTATTCCATCAGTAGATAATTGCCAAGCGAACGTTTCTTGCTTCTCCTCCAAAATCAGGATAATCATTATCAATTTTCGACCACTGTGGTGAATCTGCCGGATGTCAAAACTTTCCATCAATAATTCTTTCATTTGCATGCCAAGTCAAGTATCTTGCATCGGTTTCACTATGAAACACGCGTCTAAATCTCGAAAATATAGGAAAATACCATAAAATTTTTACTGGAGATAATTTTTTCTTATATCAAGATAAACCGCATTTAGGACACTCATTTAACGATGCATATTCGTTTCGAAATAAAATACAATCATTTGACAAGCATGTATCTTATCATAGCTTATGCCAATAGCGCACAACATTTTTTTTGACCTCATAAGTTCGATTAGGAAGAACATTATCCTCCGGAATCATATCTTTCATAAAGACTAATAACTCTGTGAAACTTTTATCGGACTATCCATTGTCCGCCTTTAAGTTGTACAACTTTAATACCGCAGACAGTCTTGTGAATTTAGTGAAACCTTTATACAACAGTTTCTCTGCATCGCTTATCAACCTCTCAAACATTTTGGGACAATCCTGAAGATCTACTTCAAGTGCTTCTGCAATCTCTTCGACTCGATCACAATCGTATGTATCTGTGCTATTGCCGTATGAAGTATATGTCATGCTATCCCTCGGTTCAACATTCCCGTTACTTTTCTTACCATGAAATATCGAACATGTATAACTTCGATCAATTCCATTCCTCAATAAATGTGATTCCAACCCAACTGCGTCAACCCGTTCCCCATAACAACAACCCAAGCAAGGATATTTCATTCGACTGGGATTTTCGGCATGTTCAACAACAAACTTAACGAATTCTAATACCCCATTCTCGTACTCTTTTGACAATTGATTGGAAGACATCCATTTTTTATCCATGGTTTTACTACTAAGTAAGATAAACAAAAACACTATAATTAATCATGCAGCTATAACAAAAGAAAACTAATTACCTGTAGAGAAGTCAGTAACTTCTGGAACCACACAATGTAAGATTCTTGGAACGATCAGAATTTCACTATTCACAAAAGAAATCGGAGATGCAACAACAACGATGAAATCGAGAAGCAACTACACATAAAACAGGAAAGCAACCAATATTATAACCAAAATAATCATTTGAAACCAAACGATATAACAATAAAATAACTGTAAAATTAAAGACATTAATTTGAAAGTGATGTGGTTAACTTTATCGGTATCAAGTATCTATGCGACCACTCATTGTGGAACTTATTGTTTCATTATTTCAATGATATGTTGAATTATATTTCAATTTTATAAAGGTTGATAATGATATAAACATTTTATTACTTAGTTTGGACAAAAAAGTTACGGTGTTACTCTCCAACTCTATTAAACTTTTGTCTAGGTAGATGTTACCTTCTTTGAGCTTGTTCTCTTATTTATAACCACACCCCATTTCAAAGAAACAATGTTACTGCTCATTAGTATTTCAACCTCGGTATATTACATGTCAACCAACAATTCCAACCGTGTTAACCTGAATATTTTCTAGAATGATTAAGGACTATGGTTGATTAAAGTTGTTATATGGATATTATGTCTATTTTTTCTATTGAAATCTATTGTCCTTTTTTAATAGTGTCAGGAATCAAATTGTCCATTTTTAATTATTACCAAGATCTAATTGTCTCTTTTGAAACAATATATTATTCTGAAAAAACTATATTTTTTTATAGTGTTTAAGTTCGAACAAAGTTTTTTCGGTATATAAACTGAATTATGATTCAAATTTTCTTTGGATAAATTAGATATTCACTCTAAAACTATTTTTTTTTCTTATTTCAAAACCATTATAGTAAAGAGTTTTATCATTTTTTTTTTTAAACGGCCAAAGCAAAAAATTAAAAGGCATATGAAAGTCAAAATAAGTACAATTACCATATACCAACCAAACCACAGTTTATACAATAGCTCTCGGCATATAATCCTTTATTACGAGGATCCTATGAGAAATCACAATTTATATAATGCAACTTTATCTAATCACAGTTTATACAATGTTAGCTATTCATAACTCATCTATCAATTATTGTACGAGGGTAATCTTTTACCCTTCCTTTAAAAAAATGGTAGCAAAATATACTTTAGTGCAATATTTTGTAGTGGAAAAATAATTGAAGATAGAGTTGGTTTGAGATTAATTGTGTGAAACACAAAGTCTTACGAGGGCCTAAATCACTTGTATGAAGTCTTATGAGGGCCTAAATCACTTGTATGAAGTTTCCTACATGTTTGGTGAGTATCTTTCTTCTAGCAAATTATATAACAGTCTCATTTTGAATAGGTTAATTTTATCTTCATTTTTGAAACAATATTAATGATGATAAGGTTTAAAATAAAGAAACAAGTTGTATTGATATACTACTTATGGGTGTGGTGGACTACTAGCTAGTATTTGTGTTAAAGCAAGAAATGATAGTTTGAAGGCAGGTGAAAGCTTAGGTGCCAACTCCAGTCTATGTTCTAAGCAAGATAGGTATTGTCTATTTTTCGACGGAACAAGCAAAGGTGCTTACTTGTATATAGTAAATTAAATATGGCTAATTTTGAAGGACGATCAGTAATATGGATGTATAATAGAAACCAACCTATTGATATTTCAGCGGTTTTATCTCTAAACATATCTGGTGTACTCAAAATTGAATTTGAATACAGGAAAGAAATAATCATTTACTCTTCACCTCAACCTATAAACAATATTGTGGCTACTATGCTAGACACACGTAACTTTGTACTTGAACAACCTCACCCCAATGAAACTAAGAGTGTACTGTGGCAGAGTTTTGATTATCCATTAGACATTTTGGTTCCAACGATGAAGCTAGGTGTAAACCGAAAAACTGGACTAATTTCATTTATAATTTAAAGCAAATTAAAATTAAATTTTGATGCTTAAAACAATAGTTGATCCATGGGTGAAATTAAAAGCTCTTTTGCCTCCAAGTCAAGAAGCTGGAAATGATGAGCTCATTGTGAAAATGTATAGAAACGTGAACTACTTCAAGAGAGAAACAATAGTCATGGTTTGTGTTTTGGATAATATTCAGTAGATAATTAGTATAGTTGCATATAACTTGCCATTCATTATTCATCTTTCATCAAATTTTTGTAATAACAGTAAACATATAAAATAACAGTAGAAGTCAACTGACCTGGTTGTTGAGAATAAGCAATCAATGGTCTGATACAGTAAATGGGAGGAGGACCATCTTCAAGTTCAAGAAATGTATCATTTCACAAATTAAAATCATTTTCACAGATCCATCAACATATCAATTCAAATCAAAAGAAATCGAAACTTACCGAAATGTCAAAATGATCAGAACAGTTGAAGATGCGATTTATTGTCGAACTGAAACGAAGGGAGTTGTTCCGGATGACTTACAGTTGTTGCTTGTGGAGAGGAATTTGTGAGGAGAGCGAACCACGACGAAGGAGAAGGTGTCATTGAAGAGCTGAAGAGGCGGAGAAGGTTGTGCAGTCTGATGTTGATCGAAGAGATTCCGGTAACGTGAAGGTTGAAGGCTGAAGGGAAGTAACGCGAAGAGATTAGAGAGTTGCAAAGTAACACAACCTTTATGATTTTGAGAGAATATGGGTAAAAATCCGAGTTTTAGGGTTTTTGTATTTTTAATTTAGAAATTAAAAATTAATGACCTTAGGCAGTGCTTCTTGAAGTGCTTTCTGATGTATTTCCTTTAGCAGCATTTTTTAATTAAAAAAGCGCTTTCTGATGTATGGCTTATAGCAGCGCTTATATGAAGCGCTTTCTAAACACATACTTTAGCAGCGCTTTCTAGAAGCATTTTTTAAAGTGTGGGTATGTATGGCCTTAAGCATCGCTTTTTACAAGCGATTTCTAAAGTAAGCATTTAGCAATACTTTTTCTCAAAAAAAATTTAAAAAAGCTATAGCAGTGCTTTGGGAAAAAAAGCATTGTCTATAGTGTACTGTCTAAAACAAATTTTGTAGTAGAAAGCGCTGCCTAAAGTGTGGCTTTAGCAGCGCTTTTTACTGTTGGGCCTATAACAGCGCTTTGAGTTTAGGCAGCGCTTTCTAGAATTTATTTATTTTTATTTCAATTTTAATTGACCTTAGGCAGCGCTTTTAGAAAGCGCTTCCTAAAGTGTGGCTTAGGGAGCGTTTTTTCTTAACTTTAGGGAGCGTTTTTTTTAAAGTGTTGTCTAATATATATAGTTTTAAATTTTAAAATTTTATCGGGAGATATAGCAGCGCTTTGGTACAGAAGCACTGTCTAAGGTGCACTACCTTAGAGAAGTTTTGGCGTAGTGTTGCTAAAAGTACAATAGTGAGATAGTATGCTTATGTAGGAATTGCGATAGATTCTGAGTTTTTCCGCTTTAGGAAATCACTAAATCATCGTTTTTCTATTTTGAAGTTGGGATACTTATAACGGATCCTCGCGTATTTCCTCCTTTTTAATTAGCAACATGGAGTAAATGGAGACTAATTCTCCCTAAAAAACATGGAGGAGATGGTTTTTCCTTTGAATGAGATTTTTATACCATTATTCCTTGGACACCATATAATGCACATATGTTAAATGAGGAAAATCATGGATTTCAGACCCAAGTTTTACCAAGCGACCTACATTTGCGATATAGAGAAACTATCCCTGCCTTGGATTCTCCATGCGCTCAATCATACTTGGGATACTTCCCTAATATTAATGTACCTAGTTGTTAGCCTGAAATTTCGACTTAGTAGAGTTTGACATATAGAATCCATAGAAATACTTAGCAAAATTTAGATATTGCATGGAGCATTTCGACGTGGACACTCTAGCTCAATGGAAAGTTATTGCTTTGGGATTAAAATTGAGATTTGGTATGTTTACCAAAGTTATATATTTAGGATGTCGACATTTAGTAGTCGGAGCGAATGGCAAGTTAAGGGCGAATAAATTCCTTTTGGTCTTATCCATACCAAGGAGACACATGGAATTAAATATGAAGGCGAAAATTATGCAACAAACTTGTGTCGACTTCTAGGGAGAAAGGCATTGGTGGAAGTTAGTATTATATTAGTATAAATAAGAGTTCTAGCGTTGGGATTCAGAGTGTCAAATTCATTACAAAAACTCAAAAACTCAATGTACCTGAGCGAAGAAGTGAGAAACGAGTTAATTGAGTGAAATGTATGATTTTGAACACTATTTTTTTAATATTTAATCAAAGCATATTTAATTTAACTTGTCTTGTTTTTTAGCATTTTCCTTTACCTTTTACTTTGCTTGTCACCAAGATTTCGACTACGTCGAAATCCCTTATTTTCCACGACTTTACAATTTCAGCCTTCATAGGAATTACATGGATTTCTATTCCATAATGAATATTCAAATAACATTACAAGAGTTTATGCACATATGTCCTAGGATTAACTAGTTGATCATGCAAGTATCCATTTTAAAGGACTAGTGCTTGTTTACTAAAATTCACGGTAAACAAATTGGAATGCCCAGTGGGAACCTTTTGTGCTAAAATTTACAAAATATTATATCATTGCATGTTCTTTTATAAATTGTTCTTCATGCATAAAATGTTCTCAATATTTGTGTATGCATGCGTTTAAGAAGTTAAAAATATTTTCCTAAAAAGACACGTCAGATTATGGATAACTCTACTTGTAACCCTCAGAACAATTCTCAAAATACAGTTGAACCCCATGTTGGATCTTCGACTGGAGATGTGGTTGTTTTAACTCTTGTTGAAAAAAATGTTCATGCACTGTCAATAACGACAATATCATCTACCACATTGTAGGGGGTGATACCCCTACAACAACCAGAGAATCTCCCTTTTAATGCCATGTTTACAAGGCCTATTTTGGGAGAACCCGGGTCACCATTCCCTCATGGTTCTTAGATACTGATGGGAAACATTTAAACTAGTATGTCGACATACACATATAACACAATGGCTACCATGCCATCTTACAATCATCAACTTGCCAATATTTCGAATCTAAAAAATTTAGGGCAAACAATGCCACCACTAGGAGATATGAATTATATTCCCCAAGATACACTTGTAAAACACCTTAAAACTCCAACATATATAATACCAATTTAAAAACTATATTCACAAAGAGTGTCACGCAAACACAACACAAACCTGCTCCATAACACGGGTTAAGTAAAACATAATATAAAATAAACACCTATAATTGCATGCTAACCTTCACTTAGGGTATTATCGCAGCGAAATTCAACAACTAATCATGTTTCATAAGTATTAAGTGAAGGTGTGAAAAACACAAGAAATGGGGGTTTGAATTGGGTTTCTAAAACAACATTATTCTTTTAAAAATATTCCCCTTTAAGTTAAAATTCTTTTTCTTTCACTCTTAATAATAACAATAAGTAAGAAGAGAAAGTAAAGAACAATGTATGTTTATACTATTTCACTTGAAAATTATCAAGCTTGTCTAGTCCACCCGCCAAGGTGATTTCGCCTCACTTAATAAAGGACTTAATTCACTATAACCAAACTGATTACAATTTGCACAAGCTACCTACAAGTGACTAACAACTTCTAAGACTCACAAGTCAAAGACTTTTTAAGGATTCAGACCTATCTGGTCCTTTAAGGAATATCAAACAATAATCAATCTGATTATTACAATACACAAGCTACCCGCAAGTGATTAACACCTTTTAAAACTTGAAAGCTCTATACTTCTCAAGGCTACATACCTACCCGGTCCCTTAAGGAATATCAAAAAAAGTTTTCAATACAAGTTTTGTTTACAAGAGTATTGCTTCTAAAAAGCTGAATGAGTAAACTATTTTATGAACAGTGACTTAAGAATATGAAAGCTATGAATATAGTTTGCACGTGAATATTCAATGAATTGGAAGCTTTCTCTCTTAGTCTCCAAGCCTTTATATAGCCAATAAAATAATAAATCCGTTGAGGGATACTATTGGGATTTCTAGAAACATTGGTAGGTTGAGTAGTAACGTGGTGGACTAGATCATGTGACGTATCCGTCCTTTCATGGTAGTGGAATAAAACGTTGGTTGTACCATGTACTATTTGTACCACATTAATGTTATCTTCTTTCCTTATGCCGTCAGAGGGTTCTACGAGCATGAGTTTAGAAGTGAGAACATAACATCAGGTTATCAGAACTTTAAGTCTTCAGAGTGTTCAGAACTGCGTCCTTAGAGTTTTCATCCCTTGGTCATGAGAACCTTTCCTTAAAACCTTGGGTCTTTAGAACTTCAAGTCTTTAGAATCCTTAGAACATATTTCTTTAGAGTCTTCAGCACTTGGTCTTCAGAACCCTTATCGTTAGAACCTTGTTATTAGAAACGCAAGCCTTCAGCATCTGGACTTCAGTAAAACTTTGACTTCATATCTTCTAACTGTGTTTCTTTGGAGCACACTGTCTTTTAGAAACATGAGTATTCAGCATCTGGACTTAAGTGAAAACTTTTGTCTTCATATCTTTTGACTGTTTCCTTAGAACACATTGTCTTTAGAAGCTTGAGTCTTCAGCATCTGGAGGTAAGTAGCAACTTCTATCTTCAGATCTTCTGATTGGTTTCTTTAGACAAATATCAGGGTTTACACTTCAGAGCCTTCTGGAGTGTCTTACTAATGTTCAACAGAACTTGTGTAGCATAGAAGCGAAATCATTTCTCTTCTAATGTCTTGGCCACACCATTCATCAGAAGTAGGACCTGTTTGTTAAGTACTCAACAATAACAAACATTAGTGTATCAAATATGTTCATACAAACATACTTATTTGTTATCATCAAAACTCAAAGATATTATTGCATAACTAAATCTTGTTCTTACAATCTCCCCCTTTTTGATGATGACAAAACTATATATTT